CGTTAGCCAAGATGGTCTTGATCTCTTGACCTCGTGATTCGCCCGTCTCGGCCTCCCAAAGTGCTGGGATTACAGGAATGAGCCACCGGGCTCGGCCCATTTAGCCCAGAATTTTAAGAAATGTATAAAGAATCATGTAACAATGGCCTGCATTAAATCCAGCACTGTAGTTCAAGGAGTTAAAAGTACCAAGCAGCATCTTTCAGGATTATTTTCCCAACTGTACCCTGATGGACACATGGACGACAAATGTCATCCATAATCATTTGTGCATACTACAGCTTCCACCCTAATGCTGCTTCACCCTGACATATGTGTCTCACCTGCGGAGGGACTGGAACAACTGGAGTAGCTGCAGGCTCGACCATATTGCTCATTCTAGCAGGAGGAGGACAGCTATTTGCTGCATAGTAATTTCGGAGTTTCTTACCATGATTTTTACCCTAGAAATAAAAATAAAATGAGTACAGCAGTCCCCCCTTATCTGCAGTTTCAGCAATTTCAGTTAGCTATGGTCAACTGCGGTCCAAAAATATTAAGATATTTTGAGAGAGAGACCACATTCACATAATTTCCATGACAGTATATTTTTATAATTGTTCTTTTTTCTAATTAGTTATTGTTGTTACTCTCTTACTGGCCCAATTTATAAATTAAACTTTATCATAGGTTATGTATGTACAGGAAAAAAAAATGCATATGGAAGGGTTCAGAAATATCACAGTTTTAGGCATCTACTAGGGGTCTTGATATCTCCTACGGAAAAAAAGAAAACTATAATCACCATGAGAAAGGGTGTCAAACTGAGTTAATAAATGTATTTACTTAATCACTTAAAAAAAAAAAGAAAAAAACACAAGTAATACTAACTACACTTTTTTCCTTCATACATACACAATCCTGGGGGTAAAAAGACTACTAGCTAGATTTGATTGCTAGATCTCGAAGTAAAAGAGCCTACTCTTTGGCTCTAACAGAATGATTAAACTTATCTGGGAAAGATAAGAGAACAAAGGCAAAGGAAATTAATTTCCTATATGTTTCTTAAAAAGTATCACATTGGCTGGGCGCGGCGGCTCATGCCTGTAATCCCAGCACTCTGGGAGGCCGAGGAGGGTGGGTCACCTGAGGTCAGGAGTTCAAGACCAGCCTGACCAACATGGTGAAATCCCGTCTCTACTAAAAATACAAAAATTAGCTGAGCGTGGTGGCACACGCCTGTAATCCCAGCTACTCGGGAGGCTGAGGCAGGAGAACCATTTGAACCCGGGAGTTGGAGGTTGCAGTGAGCTAAAATCACACCACTGCACTCCAGCCTAGGCGACAAAGTTAGACTCTGTCTCAAAAACAAACAAACAAAAAAAGTATCACATTTTCCAGTGACCTGCGTCCTCACCCAAGTTCTTGCAATTTATATGCCACAGTTAAATATGAATTTCATGACACTCTGATCTAATACACTTATAAGTTAGTAATGAAATGGATAATTCAATTATTCTTTAAAAATTGCACTTACAGAGTATCTTTTTACTTACAAAGGATGTTAATTGCATTTATTCATTTGCTGCTCACAAAAATCTTATAAGAGGAATTTGTTAATATTGTACATTTATGACAGCCAAGGAACTGTGATCCAGAGACTGTAAGGAACTTGCCCCCAGCCCCCTTCTCAGGGGCTAAATGGCACAGTCAAAGCCTGAGACAGGCCTTCCAAATCAAAGAATGGCCCTTTTCCACTACAGCATGATGGCTTCAAGATGCACTAAGAATCTCTACTAACATGAATTTGCCTTTCTCATCACATTTTAAGTTATTAGTCACATGATTATATTCCTTGAACTGACACAAACTAGTGGCAAGGGCCAACACTACGAAAGCATTCTACATAAGGGTAAAACAATAAATTATTCTTTAAACTGCATTGTAAAACTAAAACCTGCAGGCAAACATTTATTCACCATCTATTTATATGCTAAGCCTTAGAAATAAACTAAGGACTAGCACATAAAGGAAGAGACAGATACGTAAGCAGCTAAATAGAGTAATGAACTAAGATCCATCTTCTCCTCACTTGAATACCCTAAAGGTGCTTTTACCATGGTCACAGTGAACTCCAGAGTCAAATCCAGTGGTCACATATGTGCCTTTCATCTTACTGGAACTCAAAGTAACATGATACAGTTCATTTCCTTCTTGAAATATTCCTCCTACTATCATCTATAGTCTTTCTTCCCTCCCCACCTCTCCTCCTCTATCAGACCTCTAAACTCTACAATGTCCAAGAACCCACCCTTGGCCCTCTTCTACTCTCTGACTCTAGGTTATTTTACCCAGACATATAGCTTTCAAATACCATGAGTAAGTTGGTGACTCCCCATATCAATCTCCATCCTTGACCTTTAGAACCATATATCCAACTTTCTCCTGGTCATCCACACTTTCATGTCTTAAGAGGCATATCCAACTTAAAATAACTTGATTCCTCCTCCATAGAACTTTCTCATCACCACCATTACCACCACCACTAGTCATCCACAGTAGGTAAATGGCACCACCATCCACAAAGTTACTCAAGAAAAGTCAAGGGGTCCTTTTCCTGATTCCATCCTTCCCTAAGCCCAACACATTCAACCCATCAGCAAGTCTTGTCATTCAAAATACATCCCACATCACTCCACTTCTCTCCATGGATACTACAAATACCACAGTAATCCAAGGTACCAACATTTTTCGTTTGCAGTAGGTAACAGTGGTAATCCAAGGTGCCAGCAATTTTCATTTGCAGTAGATAACAACTCCTAATTGGTCTCTGCTGTTAATCTTGTCCTCCTAGAATTCTGCTCATTATAAACCAGGGTAATAATTCTTGACATGAATCAGTTCCATGTCACTCCCTCACATAAAACTCTTCCAATGGCTTCCTGCTATACTTAAAATTGACACATCTTACCTATAAGGCCCTACATGACCTGGCCCCGTCTACCTCTTGGGTCTTATGTCAGACAGAACTCCTTCCTTTCTCCTGCGCATTATGCTCCTGGCTCACTAGGCTGCATCTGCTCCTTAAATATGCCAAGCTCACTCTAGCTCCAAGGTCTTTGTACTTAACTGTTCCTTTTGCCTAGAATGTACCTCTTGCAGATCTCTGTATGGCTGGCTCCTTCTAGAATCTTTCAAGTCCCAACTCAAACTGGACCTCACTCACTCTCAAGTGTCACAACCATTCCCCCTCCCCACACCACACACACACCATCATATTACCACACTGTCTGGTTTTATTTTATCTTAGTACCACTAATCACTGTCTAAAATAATAGTTGGTTTACTTGTTTTTTTTTTTTTCCACTTTCCTCCACTCTGTAATGTAGACTCCTTGAAAATGAGGACCTTATCTGTCTTGTTTACCATTCTAATCCCAATGCCTAGAATGGTTTCCAGAATATAGCAAGCAAGCAATAAATAACTGTTGGATAAATGAACCAAGTATTATAATGAAGCTAATAAACTGCTAGGAGAACACAGAGAAGGAATTGCTTACTCCAGCCTGAATGTATCAAGGAAGACTTCCCTGAAAAGGGGGCCACTGACTCATCTTTTTAAATGAGCAAATGTTTACAGGGGAGGTAAGAAGTAAGGGAAAAGAAAACTGTGCACCGAGAAAATAGCATGAGCAACAGTCCAGCCTTCTGTGTTGAGGGACCACAAGGAGAGATAACGGTCTTCTAGATCCTTTGGAGGAGAGGCACAAATGGAAACACACAGGGGGCTCATTCTTAATGCCTTTGCCCATGATAAAGAATTTGGACTTCAGAGGCAGCAGGGAGCCTCTGAGGAACTTTAAGCAAAGCAGTGCACGACTTGATTGTATTTGATAAAGATGAGCATCAGGGTAGCAGACCAAGCTGGAAGCTGGGAAGATACACAGAGGAGAGTCAAGGACAAAATCCTAGGACACTACAATATAGAGTCTAGTAGAGAATGAAGATCCAGAAAATAAGATTGAGAATGTGTAGTCAAAATGTAAGACAAAAATCAGATAGTGTGTTATCATAGAAGCCCACAACCAAA